TAGTCGTCAACAACTATCAAGAAGTACCTCTCGTAACCCTGTCCAGGAACGCGGGCTCGGCCCCACACGTCCATGTGGAGCGTCTGCAGGGGAGCAGTCGTCGGGGGAAACGAGGAGGAGTGAGGAGCGGCGCGCTGCCGCCCCTCGACACAGGGAAAACAAGGAGGAGCAGGCGAGGGTGGGAGGGGAGGAAGAACCCTGGGAAGACCAGAGACAAGGTACCGGGAGTGCATGCCACGAAGGCGCTGCACTGACGGGTGACCAAGGCGGTGGTGCCAGAGGACGGTCTCGTGCGCCAGGGAGCGACACAAGCAGGGGGCCGACAGCTGACCTGACGCAGACGCAGACGCAGCTACCTGAGGGGACTCAGTGGTCAGTGTGTACAGGTCCGACCCCGGCTGCCGAGTGAAGGTAGCCAGGTGGCGACCCGTCCGAGCACACGTGCAGTGTGTCACGCGCTCGTAGGCAGGGGTGAACTGGTGGACACCCGCGTCCTGGAGCGCACTACCCGCCACCAAGTTCGTAGAGAACGAGGGGAGGTAGAGACCTGACAGTGTGCCCGACGGGACCGCAGGACAAGGGAGAACAGTGGAGGAGGTCGCAATGACCGGACCCCCAGAGGGGTCAGCGAGGGAGATTGCAACCGGCCGAGCAAGCTGGTCAAGGGCAGTGCGGTCACGAAAGAAACAGCGGGAAGCACCTGAGTCCAGTGTGAAGGTGTGCAGTGCCTCAGTAGACGCAGTACCAGAGGGCGCAGACTCACGAGCACCTAGAGCAGCAGCCTCACCAGCATCTAGAGCAGCAGCCTCACCAGTACCTAGAGCAGCAGACTGGATACCGGGGTCAGGCGGCACACACAGGTGACAGGCACCCGCAGCACTAGTAGACAATGCATACATGGCAGTGAGGATAGAATCATAGTCAGGAGCAAAAATATCTACCCTCTGCCTAAGTAGCTCCACCCAGTCGGGGAGCTCAGCGTCGTCGCCAAACTCTGTACGCCAAGCGTCGCTCAGACGGGCGAAGCAGTGGGACCCTGTGTGACCACGCGTCCCGCAAGGCTGACCAGTCCGGGCACCCGTGCTAATAACGTACGGGCAGCGAGCAGTACTCAGCGACCCTCTACTCTGAGCGTACCACTCACGAAGCTGCTGGGGCGAAAGAGGTTCGCGCGGACGACGCTGCTGCTGCACTGGGCCACTACAAGAAGCTCCCGAACTACCCACTCCAGGACGACTCCCACTACGGCCACCCCCACAACCCCAACTGGCGTACCACTCACGAAGCTGCTGGGGCGTGAGGGACACTCGCGGACGGCCGTGGAGCTGCATCTGGCCACGCCAGGAGCAGCAGTAGCAGCAGTAGCGGCAGTAACAGCAGTAGCAGCAGGAGCAGTAAAAGCAGTAGCAGTAGTAGCAGTAGGAGCAGTAAAAGCAGTAGCAGCAGTAGCAGCGGTAGCAGCGCGGGCAGGGCAGTGCTCACCAGTGGTGGGAAGGGCAGGCGCAAGACGGCGGCGACAGCGGGGCCGCTACAGCTGTAGGGCGGGGCCGGGCCGCGGCAGGGAGCTCCACGGCATCTTCTGCAGGGCGGGGCCGGGCCGCGACGGCAGCTGCTCCAGGGGCCAGGGGCGGCTCCTGCAGTGGCGGCTGCTCCAGGTGACCAGGGGCGGCTGCTGCAGGGGCGGCTGCTCCAGGGTCCAGGGGCGGCTGTAGGTGCGGCTGCTCCAGGGGCCAGGGGCGGCTGCTGCAGTGGCGGCTGCTCCAGGGGCCAGGGGCAGCCGTCCCAAGGGTGACGCGACGGGCTGGGGCAGCCCGCAGGGGCGACGCGACGGGCTAGGGCAGCCCGCAAGGGCGACGCGATGGGCTGGGACAGCCCGCATGGGCGACGCGATGAGCCAGAGCAGCCCGCAAGGGCGACGCGACGGGCTAAGGCAGCCCGCAGGGGCGACGCGACGGGCTAAGGCAGCCCGCAAGGGCAACGCGACGGGCTGGGGCAGCCCGCAAGGGCGACGCGACGGGCTAGGGCAGCCCGCAAGGGCGACGCGACGAGCTAGGGCAGCCCGCAAGGGCGACGCGACGGGCTAGGGCAGCCCGCAGGGGCGACGCGTCGGGCTAGGGCAGCCCGCAAGGGCGACGCGACGGGCTGGGGCAGCTGCGCGTGCGGCTGTGCGGGCGGTTGCGCGTGCGGCTGACGGGCGGCGCGCGCGGCTGTCCGAGGGCGCACGACGGCGCTCGTAGGGGCGCTCGATGGCGCTAGAAGGGGCGCTCGACGGCGCAAGAAGGGGCGCTCGACGGCGCTAGTAGGGGCGCTCGACGGCGCAAGAAGGGGCGCTCGACGGCGCTAGTAGGGGCGCTCGACGGCGCTAGAAGGGGCGCTCGACAGCGCTAGAAGGGGCGCTCGACGGCGCTAGTAGGGGCGCTCGACAGCGCGGCGGAACGGTGGGCCCAAACCAACGTCGGTCCTAGGTCCTGACCTAGGCGTCGGATACAATGTTAGAATCTAGAAGTGAACGAGAATGATTGAACTAACAAGATTGGGAGTACAAGTAGGAAACCCTAGAGTAATGTACCCCCTAAAGGCTAACCCACTGTAGCCTACACAACAGTAACATATATAATGTTTGACAGCCACAAAGCGATAACGTTCAGCGGTCACAACGAGACGTTCCGATGGACACCTGTCAATCCTCTGGATAACAATCGCGACACGGAAAACTCCCTGAAGATAGCCTCCACCACCGCAGTTCCTCATTGTAGACGTGTTGGGGCGAGCCCTCTCTCGCGCAGAGCTGACAGCCTCTGATAATCCAGCATCTCAGAACATTCACATGAAGCAAGTGATTCAGATTTACAAAAGTAGCCTGTTTCGCATAGCCTCCACACCCATTTGCAACCTCGTTTCTCTTGCCTCCGAGCCTTTGTCGGCTATTTTTTGCCAGTTAGAAGACGATCTGAACGGCTATTGGCGCTAGCTGTGGTGTTGTTCTTCTGTTTAGCAAAAAATCGTAGTTTAGAGTTACATGGCAGAGCCTCTAATTCTACGAGGATGCGGGGTAGCCGTTAGGATTTCGCAGGCTGCATCGAAGCTTTTTCTTCACACGAAGAGGATTGGAGAAAAACATGCTTGATTTCTCTATCTTAAAAAAACTAGTAATATCGTCCAACGTCATAGATCTCAACGCATACTCCCATTTATCTCAGATGAAGGATTGACTATCTACATCGCATCCTTTGCCCCAAAGTGCCTCAATGTGCAACATAAGAATCCGATTAATGTTTCCAACCCCCGCAGACTACAGATACAGGAGGCGCTTACCCCAAAGCACCGTGCGAAGATTCGCATCCTGCCCGCATCTTTTGTAAGGGCGAGTATGGCTTTCAGCCTCGGCATCCCATTGGCAAAGGCAGAGATAAGGTCTTCTTGGCAAACAGGCTATCATCATCCCACTATGGTCACGGTGCGGGTCTTGTTCCTCGATAGCCATGTTCTATATATACGTATGCATATTTCGTTCTAAAGATGTTTTGTATATGTGCAGAGTATCGTTCAAGCCCTATGCACTGATCATCTTAATGGTCGTTCTCCATCCTGGCGATCTGCTTGGGTCTTCACATCCTCTCTTCCGGACACGCGTCTTGCACTACGACCCCAAGTCTGGTGTGCCGACCCACGCGCACACTGATTTCGCACGAGATGTGTTAGGGTGATGTTTCAAACGATGATGTCCGTAGATGGCTAAAGGAGCAACTAATGGTGGATTATAGCCATAACGACACTGCTATGAATGACCAAGAATTGGAGGTGCTCCGCGTGATGAGCACGAGGCTAGAGAGTCTGACAATCGAGCGCTGTGTGGTAAGGAACTAACTTTCGTCGTTTTCGTGGTTTACGTTAATACTCAAATATACTACTAATCCAAATTTACAGGGTGTTTTTTAAAATACAGACGACGTCAATTCTAGGCAGAATGGAGGTTGGTTCTGGTCTGCTGGTGTCGTACTTTTGGGGGAGGCTGCTGGAAAATTGGAAGTTCGTGCTACAAGTGCATAGTGGGGGAAACTTTCCAGGACTTGGTAGAGGCACCTTCTCGAAGGAAGAAATACTAGACTGGCTGGTCGAGACTTGCCACCTTCATTTCGAGGGGCCCAACAATGATCCGGAAGTCGAACTGGTAGAGTTGGACGATGATCAGGAAGATTCCATGTGCGAGCTGTCACCTGGGGACAAGTAGGAGGAGGAAGAAGTTGTGGAGGCGCATGCGGACACAGGGGGACTGCTCTGTGATGCAGCAGGACAGAAAGTGGAGGTGACGGATCTGGCTATGCATTTGCAGACGAGGAAGCCGAGGTCGCGCCATATACAGAGGGGTCGGTCGAAGGATTATGATTTGGACAAGGTGGGTATGGCGGATTCTGAGCAGAGCGGAGAGCTGGGGACGATGCACAGGGACGAAGCCAAGAGAGGGACCATGAATGCTGAACTACTAGAGGCCGAACGACTAAGGGTGCAACGGCAGTGTGTGGTGGAAGGAAGGTTACACGAGGAGAAGCCGGGAGTGGAAGAGGCTGCGCAGAAGAAGGCATAGACCAAGGTTGCATGCCGGTCCAGTAGGGCAAATAAGGCGGAGAAACCTCTCCAAAAAATTCGAAGCAAAATATTGATGATTACCAAAGGGGTAGAGAGACGGAAACTGCGGCAAATATGGATGCGGAACGACAGAGTGCGGTGTCGATCATGAGGCGCTTCAACGGTCCTTAAAGCCTTTTCTGAGACAGTATGTGGATGATGCGATCACTCGAGCATTACAGAAGCTCAGGGATGATACAACAGTTCAACAGCGTCAGTTTGCAACGTCGCTGAAGGAAGAGATACTGGTTGCAGATCAAGTGAAGCGATACGCGACACGAGAGATGGAAATCAACAGAGCAAGCATGCCGCAGTCGCCTACAGGTATGCCAGCAAGAGTTTCGTTAGTGCGTTCAAGCGCAGATGCTGCACCTTCAACACCCGCTATCCTTGGCCTTCAAAAGATTAGTGGGTCCAAACTTTCCATTCTCTCCCTTGATCTCCTCTCCCCTCTTGAACTTTGCGTACTTTACGAAAAGGCCTCTCTCCTGTGCAAGAGCACGCAGAGTTTGGCCTTCCACTAGGAAGCTAGACTTGTTCCACAGCGCCCATGCCTCCGCCACTGTGGTGCTCTCACGCCAGGGCCGCACCACACAGTCAAAGTAGACCATCTCTGGTGACGGTGTTGCTGGCTCTGGGGTAGATTGGCCAGCACCGCCTTCCCCCATCTTCGAGGAGCCCACACCTCCTGCAGCAGCGTGGTCGATGCCAATGTTGCTCGCGAGGAAACCTTGAGAGCGGACGACTCGGCCTTGAGCTGTGCCTTCCTCCTCCTTGAGCATCTTGTTGGCGATCTGCAAATCACGAAGATGGGCCTGAAGCTCGCCGTTGCGGACGTCCTTCATCCCACTCTCCTTCCGCAAGCAATGGTTCTCGGCATGGAGCTTCTGCAGTACGTGCTCGCCCTCGATTCGGAAAACAACGTTCTGCAAAACAAAATAATATAACGTGGTGTGCAATCATGAATCTTTAAAGGCAATTTGCGGGAATAAAGACATTTATGGACTGCATCGACTGTCCCGCGTTCTGCCTCATGTTCTGGGCGTTTTTTTCCATTGTAGCAACAAAGATGGCCCACTTTTGAAACAATGGATCGTTGCAGAGACGGCTTATCTCCACATATGGGTGTCGCGTGCAGCTGCATCGTGGATAATCCACGTCGAAGTCGTGATCGTTGCAGTGGACCCACATCATTGCAAGGTCTTGCGCGACCACATCCCGACCGCACTTGATGAGGAACTCAAAAAACTTCCTCCCAGAGTGATGCTGCTTATACGGGGTCCTTCGACTGTTGTATTTATCGACCTGGTGGTGAGGGAGGGTAGCAAAGATATAGAGATGAAGAAATTGAGTACCTGGTCTATGCTGAGGCGGTGAACTTGAACATATGAGTTTACCTTTTTCATCTGCTTCTCGGCCCATGGGAAGATGTGTTTTCTGAAAAGCCTCTTCAGCTTCTTCCACTCCATTTTGTCTGGGAGGACTGCGTGTGCTCTGCAGATGTAGTAATCTCCCGGTCATCCGCTGAATCCCGCCATCAACATGATCGGTAGAAAAGGAACTCCAATCATGTACGCCTTCCGCATCTCCCCCTGCTCCCATCCACCCATAGCGCCAATGTCGGTATTGGGGCAATGATCGTCGCTCAGCCCCTGCGCCCTCAACCTGCGAAATATGTGGGTCACCTTGCTGAACATCCACTTTGCCTGTTTCATGACCCAGGGGATCCAGTTGTTGTGAGTCTCGTATTTCATCTCGTCTTGCGTCTGCGGACCAGGGTCGCTCTGCTTCCTTATGCCAAAGAACAGGTGTTTCTTGGTCCACCTAAGCGGCTTTTTGAGGTTGAGACGACGTATGACTTTTTTTCCATAGCGAATCGGAACGATATCGTAGAGCCAATAAATCCACAAGAAAACCCCGCCAACGCCACAGAGGTGCCAGTCGACGTGCCTTGCAAGTTACTGATGGGTCAGGTTGTTGGAGAGGTTGGTCTTTGTTTTCCTGGAGGCGATGACGATCACAGGAAGGTCGGCATTGCCATTGACCTGGGTGCTGCTGCGGCAGAAGCGGACGAACATGTTGGCGAATCGGATTTTCCTAATGGAGCACCCCCTTCCCAGGACCTGGTGCCCCAGCAGAATCATGACCTTCACGGCAAGAGCCCTCCACAGTGGCTGAGATGGGAAATCCTTGCTCCTCGCTGAGATGGAAGAATGCTATGATGTAGCTCCCTGTATTGATCTGCGTTATAGCAATCGTCGAGAGACTCACGGTGCCGATCAACGCCGGTTTTGCACAGATAGTGGGTGATGGTTATACGTGACGCATTACGGAGCGACATCGATCGACAACGATTATGCATAGTATTCGTTAAGGAAGAGCTCGATGAGACTTCATTGATGAACATCTCCAACAATGAATTGCTCACCGGATTTGCTCCTCGTTGAGGTTGACCAGCTTCACTCTCATTAAATCCCTGCCCTCCATGATGAAGTCTTGCATCTTCAAAATGGGGTAGTTGTATAGCGCAGACTCGCATCTGCTGAGGCAGCCAATAGCGTTCATCTTCGCCTATATCATCTTTGGTGTGCTGGGCTGGGGCTCCCTCCCGGCAACAACAATCGCTTGATCAGGGGTTTCAGCAAACAAGTACTCCATGTAGCGGAGAATTCTCCACCCGGTAACACGAGGTCCGTGTAGATGGAGCTGAGATTCGGGTGCCCGTTCCCACAAGAGTTTCTCGTTGGAGCCCATGTACATGCCAACTTCGTCTGGGTTCTGCAGGTCAATTTTCTCGGCCTCAAGAATCTCGTCTGCTCCCAGCAGTGACATCATCATTATAGTAACCCATCGCTTGCAGGTGTACTGGCCTCTCATCCTTGCGGATAATACGTCGACATGCACCGCTGCGCGCTTTTTCCTGCTCTCTTTTTCTTGCTCTCTTTTTTTGGCATCGCTCTGCGGGGGATCGCTCCCAAAGATGATGGGATCGCCTCAACGATAATCGTTGAACAGGGGACGACGAGTGTGGCTATCTTTCTCCCCCTCTTGGCCTTGCGAAGGTGGTTGGCCCTGCGAAGGGCGTTGTCTCTGCGCAGGTCGTTGGCCCTGAGAATGTCATTGGCTCTGCGCAGATTTCTGACCCTGGGAAGGTCGTCGGCCCCGCAAAGGTCGTCGACCCCGCGCAGGCAGTTGGCCCTGCGAAGGTCATTGACCCTGTGCAGATGCTTGGCTCTGAGAAGGTCGAGTGGGGTTTGAATGCTGAACACCTACACCCTCCGAAGCTCTGTTGTGGCTTGAACTGACACCCTCCTGACCCTGCTCATCTCCACCCCCCTCCTCCATGTCGTCGTCACTTGCATCGCTAAAATCGAACTCCGACTCTTCATCGTCCTCTTCCTCTGAACTATCTTCATCGTCGTCTCCCTCACTTGCCTTGATGTACTCGGTCTCCTGCTCAGCATCCTCCTCTTCCTCTGCAAACCCTTCCTGGTCTCCCTGGATAGGGTCGCCATATTCGGACTCCGTCTCCTCGTCGTCCTCTTCCTCTGCACCTTCTAACGAGACTGCCTCCCCTTCAACACCCGCGATCCCGTCATCTACGTCTTGCTCCTGAGTCTCTACAGCATCAGCAAACGTGTCTTCACACGCGACATCGTAGATGAAATCGTGGCCTGCATCCTGCGCGAGGTCCTCATCGGCTTGCGTTAATTCGTCGTCGTCCTTCTCCTCATAATGACCGAGTTCTCTGCATAAAACCTCGATCCAACCGCGACCAGCGTTGTCCATTGGACTCTACACAGAAAACTAAACCGAGACTAAATAGGTAAAGCTCACATCTGTTCGGCAGATTCAGTGTGCATCCTGTAGCGACCCTACCTACGAGGTTATTGCTACTAAAGAAGAGAGGTCGCTCAACGACAAATCGAGAGATGTATGAGGTCAGGGCGCAGCAGTAGTTTCCTTGATTAACTAAGCAGAGGACTTCGAAAATATGTATAGTGAGGGATCCGCAGAGAGCTAAATCGGTGCGAGAATGTAGAGTTGCGGTGGACCGTACTATCGTCGAAGAGTATTAAATTCTACCCAGAGGGAGAAACATTTATGAATGGTTTAGAGTAGTTGGCAGATGAAGAGGCAGATTTACTGAGGAGCGGCTCGACAGAGGACGGAAAATCGGTGGTGGCAAGAAATTGCTCGGTGGTAGACAAGCGTGTCAGAGAGGAAATGCAGAAACAGCTAAACTAGAGTGTTGCAGAAAAGCTATCGAGATGCTTCTACAACTGCCACAACGTCGACTTCAGCTCGAGCTGCAGAATCTATGGTCTACTCTACAATCGAAAACTGGGACGGTCGGGCTGCCCAAAAAAAAAAAAAAAACGCGGGGATTACTCCTTTGCGAAGAGTGCCTACACTAATCGTCTACATGGCTGCCGTCTACGCGAAATCGGGTCGAGGACAACCACAATCTGCAGACTTTCTACGATCAGAGCAATCGGAGATTGAGGCGGAGGAAAGATCCGAAAGGAAAGACGAATGGGGTCTTGGCTACTGAGCGAAAAAGGGCGTTGAAGTGGGTGCAACTGCACTTGGAGTAGCACAAAATGGCCATCATGCTAAACCGTGAACAAGGAAAAAAAGAGACAGAATGAGGATGACAACCAACTTTGAAGCCATCCTGTGACCTGAATCCACTAATCAGGTCGCACGTTCTTCAGATCTGGATCACATGGCCATTCGCCAATTCCAGGTCAACGTGTGGCTCATGAGAAAGTAGGGATTTCATCGTTTGGTATTGGTTCGTGCAGCAGAGGAGGAACCTGCTCGACGATTGGTCGACCCAGTTTTGCTGTCAGAACACACCGCAACGTCAATAAGAGATTAGTGAATGTATTCATTTGCCTGCTACTGTAACAGTTGCAGCTCATTTGCTGTGAGGTGGCGGCAGTTGAGCGGCAAGCGGCGTCTCTTCGTGTGAACAGTGTCAGATATCGTTGAATCTCCTGCACGTAACAATTCTTCTAGGTTGTTTACAGCATGATTCCGAACGCGAGGACTCGCGCGACGGCAACAATTCTTTTACCTGATACCGCGGCGATTGGCTTGTTATCGATCAAACGTTGCAGAGTACAACGCAATCTGCACTTGTTATCTGCTGTAAAAAAGCCAACCAGTCTTCGGCCGTGAAGCACTTCGTAAAGAGTTCACATGCAATAGGCTTGACGACGTCATGACGATCGTCCCGTTGCAACCGGTTGTGCGACCTTGTCGGTCGTCCGGCGGGTAACCTCGCTTATCGCGAATGTTTCGCTGACAACGCCCCTCGCAAAAGTTGGTGTTGCATTTCGAGTTCGGTCACTACCCGAGCATGATTTTCGGGTCAGGTGGGCGCAACATTTTGGGCCGGAAACCTGTGTCGTATTCGGCGCGGCCTTGCGCCCGTTTTCCGCCTGTCACTTTTGCCTAGACAAGTCTCTCGAGACAATGGGGCGTTTTCAGAAAGACAAGGCAGCTTTTCAGAAAAAGGCTTTCATCATCCATGCGTTCGCCTCCTCGCCCTCGTGACCTGCCTCAGAAGCCTACTGACGAGGAGCAGGACTGCTTTAACAGAGCCCACACAGCCTTGTTGGTGTGGCAGTCTCGTGACGCTGCAGCTCGTATCGTCCTCGGCAGCCTTCTCCTCGAGTCTGAGGAGGCACACTTCGGCGAGGTTCGATCTTCCCAGGCTTGTTTCGCTGCGATTAAGACCCGTTACTCCACTCCCTCCTCTGCCTCCCTTGGTCGCCTCTTCATGCCGTTCCTGTTTCCCGACCTCGGAGTGTTTGCCCGCACTGTTGACCTTATCACCCACTTGCGCTCGCTCGAATCTAGCTACTGTGCTGCTTGTATTGTGGCTGAGCTTGCGATCCTCCCCCCGCCCATGCCTATCACTATTCACTTCATAGCCACTTGCCTCCCTGACCACCTTGCCCCTGTACGCGACACGCTTCTTCGGAAGCACCCTACTGAGCTCACTATCAACGTCCTTGAATTAGCACTCAAGGACATCGAGAGCAACATCTGCTCAGTTGCCTCTGCTTCTGACGCCGTAGTTCCCTTGCTCTTTTTTAGGAGTGTGCTGTTCCACACCTTCCCACCTTCATTGCTTCTCTTGCCTCTACTGCTTCTTCTGCTACTAACGAGACTACAGCTGTGTCCGTCGTCGGTGGGCGGGCCCGGGGCAAGGAAGATAAGACAGGGGGGAAGGGTGGTGGCATCGGTGGTGGCGGAGGGGGTGACGCAGGGGGTGGCGGAAGTGGGGGCGGTACTAGTGCGTATAGTGGAGGCGGCACTGGAGGTGGCACTAGGCCTGCGGGCCTGACTGGAGGGGGTGCTGGAGCAGTTGGTTGGTACACGGCGGCAGCATCGCAGCAGCAGCGGCGAGCCCAGCAGCAACAGCCACAACAGGGACCGTAGCAGCAGCAGAGACAGGCGCCGCAGCAGGGGCAGCCGCAGCAGCAGGTTCAGCCGCAGCAGCAGGTTCAGCCGCAGCAGCAGGTTCAGCGGCAGGTGCAGTAGCAGCCCCAGCAGTGGGGATCTGGTGGACCAGGGGGCGCTGGGCGTGGCAGTGGCGCGCCCAACTGGGAGTCACGTGGCACTCCCCCTTCTCTTTGCTAGTACCGTGTCTAGACTTGGACAAGTCGCGGTCAGCCCTGTGGCTGCTTTTACCCTTCTGAACAGTGCTTTGCGCAACTCACGGACCACCTTCGCGCGGAGTACGGTGATGGCCCCTCTTCGGACTAGGCCCCACTGGGTCGTTCTCTTGGTCCGTCATTGTTTCAGATGTCTGCAGTAGAAATGTTTGCTGCCTTGCAATCCGCCTCTTTGATGTATACCGATGTGGACTATAGTGCTGCTGGATCTGTTTGCTTGCGTGTTCATAGTTTAGGTTCTTTGCTTGTTGCAAGTGTAGGTGCTTGTGATTCTAGTCTTAGTGCTTGTGTAGCTACTAGCCCAGGTGCACCTTTGGCTGAGGCGTCGCTCTCTTTCATGCTGGACTTTGGTGTGTCTCAGTGCTTCTTTCGCGACCACGTGACTCTCACTCCACTTCCTGCTCTGGTTCCGGTTGCACTGGCTGATCCTACTTTAGGACCAGCAGTTGCACGCAATTCTACCACCCTCCCATCCCCGCCTGTCCCCTCTAGTATCCTCATGGGTCTCCACATCCCCTCGTTCTCCGGGAACATGGTGGGTTTTGGATACCTTTAGGACTGCCACGTTGGCGTCTGGTTTCCTCTGTTAGAGCGTGACGGGACCTGCGTCGACGGTGACACCTATGCTCCACTGGCCCTATTTAGTCAGGGGCCAGGCCGCTCCGGCCTCTTCACGCTGCACACTTCGTCTCCCCAGGTAGCTGCGTCTGGTGAGGTAACTACGTCCGGTCAGGTTGCTATGACGTGCTCCTATCGGACACTCACCCACCTGACAGTCCTGTGGCACCACCGTCTTGGTCACCCGTCCCTCTCTCACCTCCGCAGCATGGCTAGCCAGCGTCTTGTCTCAGGTCTCCCGCGCGTCTTTGTGTCGCTCCCTCCTTCGCCAGCGCCGCTGTGCACTCCTTGCGTCGAGGGTCGGCTGCGCGCCACTCCTCACTCCTCCTCCCTTCGTCCAGCCACCGCACCCTTCCAGACTCTCCACTTGGACGTCTGGGGCCCCGCCCCTCGCCTTGGGCCCAAGCGGGAGAGCTTCTTTCTGGTGGTCGTTTACAACTACTCCCGGTACACCATGGTGTTCCCCCTGGCGAAGATGTCCAACGTTACTTCTACACTGATCAGGTGGTTACTGTCCACTAAGGCCACTCATGCTAGTCGTGTCGTTTGTCTTCACTCCGACCGTGGGCATGAGTTTCTCTCCGGCATTCTTCGTGGATTCTGCAGCGAGCAGGCCATCACCCAGTCCTGGAGGCTTCAGGAGTCCCCACAGCAGAATGGGGTTGCTGAGCGCCGCATCGGCCTGGTCATGGAGATCGCCCACACCCCCATGATCCATGCCCGTGCGCCCCATTTTCTGTGGCCCTATGCGGTTCGCTACACCGCCCGCGAGCTGAACCTCTGGCCTCGTGTCTCTCAGCCAAAGGCTTCACCAACCAGTCTTTGGACCGGGTCCCCTGGTGTTGCGTCAGAGTTTCGTGTCTGGGGCTGCCTTGCACTTGTCCGCGACACCTCTGCGGACAAGCTCTTGGCTCGCGCCACTCCCTGTGTCTTCCTTGGTTTCTGGTGGACGCCCCTAACTTTACGCTTTACCACCCACCCCTCCACCAGTTCCCTGACTCTCGAGACGTCACCTTTGACGAGTCCATGTCCTACAACACCTGGTACCCCTGTCGAGGTCTCCAGGTCCCCCCCCTCCCCTTTTCCTCGCCACTGCTCCTCCTCCTGCTCCCGCTCCTCTGGTACACCCTCCCCCCCCGGTCCTGCCCCGTCAGGTGTGTCCCACGCTACTCCTCTCCCCTCGGTAGCACGTCCGGTCCCGCCTCCTTCCCCATAGTCGTCCTCTCAGTCACCGCAGCAGCCGCCGACACTACCGCGGCAGGTTGCAGTTTGACTCTGGGGGTGTTGGTCCTGGCGGCACGGGAGTTGGAGGTGCTTGTTCTGAGGGTGCTGGAGATGAGGGTTCTGACACTGGGGATGCTAGTTCTGAGGTTACTGGAGCTGAGGGTATTGGCACTAGGGGTGCAAGTTCTGGGGGTGTTGGAGCTGCAGGTACTGGCCCTAGAGGTGCTAGTTCTGGGGGTGCGGGGATTGGTGGTA